TTAAAATCAAAACATACTTGACCAACCAGCTGAAAAAACAAGCAGAATATTTAATGCTGCCACCATTAATAATAGCACCAGTAGTATATGTATTGGCTCGCTCAACGGCCATAATAACTCCCATTGATTACATGGCTGACTTTTCTGGATTCAAATTCTCAGCTGCAGAAGACGAAAAAGTCACGAAATTCTGGACGTCGTCGTACAGAATTTGAGCCATTTTTGGATCAAAAACTTCCACTGCATGATACCCGTCTTCACTGAACGCTGCCACCACCTCCACTCCACCGCCCTCCAACACCTTCACCAGCTCTTTCTGCCTATCCACAAACGGATCTCCTCCGTAACCTCTAACCAAACACCTCGGCAACCGTCCGATCTTATCCTTCTGGGACGCGACGGAAGCCGCTATGTTACAATATTCATGATCACGAGTAGCATCTTCGGGTAATGACAAATACCATAGCAAATCAGTTGCATGGAGAGGGGCAATCTTGTCATGTTTCTGCCTAAGTTCCGACTCCGACCGCTGGACACCGCCGAAGAACGGCTCGTTCATTATCAGCCCTGAGATCTGCACCGGTGCGAGATCAACGTCCAGCGCACGTAACGCTGCATGGTAGACCATGTTGCCGCCAGCGCTGCTGCCCATCAAGAAAAGCTTGGAAAAATCGGCATATTCTTGCATCCACGGATCACACCCGTTTTCCGTTCCTCCTGAGGCCTGATCTTTGACCCACATGATTGCGTCCATGGCATCATCGTAGGCTGCCGGAAGGCGGTGTTCGGGGGCGCGGCGGTATTCTACCGAAGCTACCAATGCCGGCACATGAGCAGCCATTGTGCTGCATGATCCATGGAAGATTGGATCAGTTGCACTGAGGAGAACAAATCCGCCACCGTGGAAGTAGATGATGATGGCAAGCGTAGTGTTGGGAGGAGGGTTTACGGGTCGAAAAAGGCGAATGAAAGTGTTGGTTTTTGGGTTGAGAGGGATGTCTTTGGAGAGGGAGAGTGGTGGAGCAGCGAGGTCCTGATGATTAGGGGGTATTTCTGGGGTTGGGGGTAAAGTTGGGAGCTGGTTTAGCCTGGTGAAAGAGCCATCTGGATTTGGGAGGAGATTGAGGAACTTGTAGGCATCTTCTCTTGACAGCTCCGGAGTGGTGGCTTGTTGTTCAGACATGTTTAGCTACAGGGGGAGGAGGGTGGTGGTGGAGAGAGGGAAGACGGAGGAGTAAAAAAAGCCTCAGAGTCAGAGGAATACGGGGGACTGAAAGTGACTGGGGCAGTTGAGTTGGAACTTGGAAGTCGAAGCCTGGAAGGGAATAAATAGTTGAGACTTGAAAGAGCAACGTGTAATTATTAGTAGAAGTATTCATTAAGTTGCTGTTGGCTTAGTTGGGGCACCAATTAATACACCGCATAGAATTGAATACTACGGAAAATGCATGCTCGGTCCGTCATGTCAACCGCATCTGAAAAATCCCATTTTAGGGCAAAATGATCATTTTAATTTTTATATTTTTTATTCAAAAAATAAAAAAAAATAATATACTTTTGTTATATCATATTTTAATTGAATTACACATCTTTTTTCTTACTAACGGTTTTAGCTTGTTATAAATTAAAAAAAATAATAAGAAGGACAAGAAAAAACAAGCTAATTACTTAGAATATTGCCAAAAAAAAATCGGACATTTACGACTCTGACAATGATATGGTATTAAACTATTGCTGCCCGGCAACAAAAGCAAAAATTTTTTTTTAAAAAAAAAAGACACAGGCCGGCAGCCAATCAAAAATTTTTTTTTTTTAAAAAAATGCAGCAGCTGCAAAAAGTCAAAAAAAAAAAAGAAAAAAGAAAAGTAGCGTCTGCCGGGCTGCTGCTTTTTTTGAAGGAATGTACACTAAGAAACACATTTGGTCTGCATTTGTTATAAGAGAATATCGAGAGTATAAATGGAATTTAAATAATTATATAAATTTTAGATGGCGGAATAACTGATCCTTCCCTACCATTCAGCTTTTCTCTAGTAAGTAAATTAACTAGCACGAATTAAATGACAATAACCTTATGATCCTCGTCCTAATAACAGTCTGATGCTTTTGTTGCTGAGAATTATAATTTATATGGTACTGATTTAATTAGATTGGGACCTTTTTTTTTTTTTTTAATTTTGTAGGAAACTTCATAGGTTGTACTCAACTAGAGGAGGAGATGGTCTAGGAAGCTTGGGACCTGTATTTAACTTTAGAACTTGCAACTTCGGGCAGCTCCTTAAATATGATTTGGCAGGTAATCAATTAACTTGTGCGGCCGTGTCAGGCGTTTGACAAACTTCTCCTAGGCACCAGGGTGCCTAATTAAACATTGTACGCACGCAGTTAATATTGGATTATGTGTTTGAAACTTATTTGTGTGATGAAAAACTGACAAAGCAACTTCATTATGATAATATATGTCAATTATCTATTGGGACAGCTTTTCGGTTGAAACTATGTGGTTAGTTGGGTTGAAGTACTTAATTTGATGAAGTTCAAAGTCTGGTGCCTTCTAAGATTTTTACATACAGCACAGTTCTAGAAAAACACTGGACTCTCATATAGGATCTTAGGCTATCTCGATCTTTTCCTACGACATTTCCTTTCTTTACATGTCCTCACAATCAGAAAATAGAACTAATGAAGTTTTGCTTCTTTATTTTGTGGGTTAAATGCTTTCTAATTAGTACAACAGCAATTAGAACACTAAATTTCATTTGGACAAATGAATAGATCGGAAAAGTTATGTGCCATGGGTATATATTGGCATACTCGATGAAAAAGAATATGGCACAAATTGCACTCTAGTTGCTGTACGTACCAAGCGCCGGTGAAAAACTTTCCCGTTTGGATTGTATTTTCCATCATTTTCCGTGGAAAAAATACTGTAATGATTTGATGTACGTGAGGGAAAAAAGTAATAGGAAAATGTGATCACGGAAAACGACGTAATTTTCTGACAGAAAATGACAATCCAAACAGGGTGGCCGGCATCTATAATAATAACTGAGCCATTATCAGCATAACGGTCGCTGAGAGGAAAATTAACGAAAACGTGCATGGTTAATGAGCTACAATCCCAAGTAAAGACATCAAGCAATGAAAACCATCGATTTAGCATCTATTTGGTAGTATATCGTACGATGGGGGGAAGAAAAACCGAACGAAAAAGATGCTAGAAAATCTCACATGTTGAAATGCCGCATTCAGGAATTTGGGAGTCAAGAAAATAGGAGGCTCCCAATGAAGCCATGAACAGGGAAGTAGCTTTACGATGAGCTTCTCGTTCCAATTTCCTTGTGCTTGTTCAAGCGTCTGCCAGGCTTTTTTTTTTTTTTGACTTTTTGCAGCTGCTGCAGGGCTGTGTCAGCCAGTGCTATTTTTTAAAACACCATTCTCAGAGCGGTAAATATCCGATTTTTTTTTTGACAATATCCTAAGTAATTAGCCGTAAAAACAATTGCACGTGAGAACCAGCCCTGGGGATGGTTTTAAAACGCTTTTTTGGGTAGGTATTCCGTAAACTTGTATGGTTGCGGCAAGAGAACTTACAATCCAAACACACTCAATTTTATTGCTTGAATAGAACATTTCTCTTTCAGCTTATCGGCTACGTACGTGTCTGAAATCTTGCCCTTCATTACCCAAAGTTTTACGATAGTGCTTCGTTCGTATTACCAGGTAATTGAGTCCCATTTAATAATTTAATTCAGCACTTCAATTTTTTTTAGGACTTAAATTCAGTATTTAAATTTAATGAGTTCAAACCTTAATATGTTTAGCTCTATTTATTTAGACAAAACTTATTCTAAACAATAACTGATAAGTCGTACATTTATTCCTTAATGCAAACTAGATTTCGATATTTAGCAATTCAACAACTAAATAGATTTTAAACTTTAATTCTAGTGAATGCTTTTCTATCTTTTGGGCTTGTGTGAGTTTAAAAATCTTTCATTAATGTTTGGCCCATTTTTCCTGAACTGAGTGCAAACCTTAATATGTTTAGTTATATTTATTTAGGCAAAACTTATTCAAAATGATAACTGATAAGTCGTTCATTCATTCCTTAATACAAAATAGATTTTAGTATTTAGTAATTCTATAACTTAACAGATTTCAAACTTTAATTTTAGCGAACACGCTCCTATCTTTTGGGCTTGTGTGAGTTTCAATGTTTGGCCCATTGTCATGAAAGGAGCACGAGAGGATAGACCAAAGCAGATAGGCCATTTGGCCCAGTTTCTCAAGCTTCGGACATTGGCTTGGTAAGCATTTTGGGAAGAAAGAAATAGATTCTATATTTTATTTTTTTCCAGAAACATAGAAGATTCTAATGAAGTATACGAGAGATGAGTTATACGACGGAGGATGCCGACTTATTCCTCCCATATTGGAGGAGAAGAGAATAGCACAACCAAGTGGAAACCATTCCACCAACCTGCCTTTAACCACGTCTGTAAAACCATTGATTCATAGAAATATTTCAGGTATTCCAAACATGGACCAACAATAGGTATACTCGCAAAAACTAGCAATGCATAATATTCACATAAAGATCAGCATAAGCTGCTGTGGAGATTTGACTTGAACGAGACTCCGACGCACCAGGAGACTGCAATCTTCAAGAAGCATCAAGCATGCATGTATGTATGACCGAGTAGAGTTCTCTTGCCGCAACCATACAAGTTAATCGTAATAGTTTTGGCTTATCAGAAACTACCAGTTTAATCTTCAACAGGAAAAGAAATCCATGTATATATAGCAGCTTAATCTTCAACAGGAAAAGACCTATAAGGCAGTGCCCGTAGCATTATTAAGCTTAGAAGTTGCAGAGGGAATATGTAAAATGCTTGTTATCAGTGTAAAAGGTTAACGTGCCGAGTAATCATGTGTAATTGATAGCATTAAGCTAGAGTCGGAGGCCAAAAATCTCGAGGGGACAGAAAAGAAACAGGTGAATCCAGCACACACCACCATCCATCAATGCTATAGATCAAAATCTACTCATACAGGATTTGAGGTAGAGATGCGAAGCTTTATTGCGAATCTACTCGTATCGCAAGTTTGTTTGGATTACACTTATTTACACTTTATTTACACACACTGACTTGCTTGTATCATCAACACATTTCCAATCACCTTTTTATCTCACATACATCACATCAAAAAAGTGCTCCAGTATTTTCTTCACAAAATTATCTCAAATAATCTACTATCCAAACAAACACTACAGTGGACATGTAATGTTTAACCATATTTGTTTAATTAATACGTGCATCACTGTTTACTAAGGTTTCCTACTCTACACAGCAGGCAGTTGAAAACCATGGGCCAAGAAAGTAGGTTAATGGTGGAAAAGAAACGAAACGCCAGCCAGAAAAACCAGCAAGCCTAAGAACTTCAAAAATTTCAGATAATTCTTCTTTTTCTAATTGGACACCAAATGTAAATGGAACCTCTGTTACGAAAGAGTATGATTACAGCTAGCAAATCTGCACCATTAAAGATGTTGACAATTGCATACACTGCATAGATGCAATACTGACTCTGGAGGCAGGAATGCTTTATAATATCCAGTGATGTACTACTGTATAATGCACTTCAAGAACTGGGACCAAGAATAAAATCTCACTCCTGAAATCAATGCCAACTTTAGAAAAGGCTCACCTTACTTGCTGTGGCTAGGAAGCAGACAACCAAAAGGTAAAATATTTCCTGGGACCCGATAGAGCAAATCCTAGAGATATATAAAGAGTGGAGTAATGAGAGTTTGGGGAGAATAAATTCTCCGTTTCAAGTTTGTCACCACTCAAGAAAAGTTTGAGCAAATATCAGGATTGATCGTTCACCTTTATGCTTGGGATTCCTCAACAACACCACCAGCCACCAGGCACCAGCAACTTGTGGGAGCCAAATTAGAATGGCATTTTGTGAGTCTTATCATCACTTCTAAAAGGACAAGTCAAAAGTAAGGTTGGAAACCAATCTATGTATGCTGAAAATAATGAAGTAAAGAGAAAGCGGATCACGAAACATGTAACTCTACTTTTTGCTTTTTCACCAGAATTTCTGCCAAAAAAATAATTGGGACATAAAAATGGCCTATAGTACATCTTACTGTCAGTGAAATTAATAAAGAGCAGAGCACTCCATGACGATGAAACTCCCGGTTACCGGGCCTTTTTCCTGGACTTAAATGGGAAATTGGATGGCGGTGAGGGAGAAAATTCAAACGGCAAATGGGGAGGTTCGGATTCACCTGAAAGCATCCCCACAATCTCTTTCATGGTAGGGCGCTTATTAGGCGTTCGTTGCAGACAAAGCAGTGCAACAGTGATGCAGAGTAAAGCCTGTTCCCTGTCTAGTGACTGAATATTGGTATCAAGAAGATCCAGGAGCCTCCCAATGTGGGCAAGCTGCCGCGCCCATGAAATCAGATTAGCCCTCTCAAATTCTGACATTGGCGAGGCCGTGACTTGGAGAGGCCTCCGGCCAGAGACTAGAACCAAAATCAGAACACCGAAGCTGTAGATGTCACATTTCTCAGAAAGCTGCCCTCCACCACCATATTCAGGGGCAATGTAACAAACAGTTCCTCTCATACTTGGAGTACTGCTGATACCTCCGCTCTTGGGGATATCTCCGCTAGCCCAATCTTGACTATTTCTTCTACCTATTCGAAACTCGCCGCTGAACCCATCAAGCCACCAGTCAATACTGGTTCTACTACCCCTGCTCTTCCTCTTCTTCCTTTCAGGCACCACAGCCTCATTCCTCTCCCACCACATTTCTCCCCCATTATCTGATTTAGTGTCCCTGTTCTTCTTCTTTTTAGTCAATTCTTCACAAAACTCCTCCTTCCACCATTCCCTCGGTTTCCTATTCTTCCTCTCCTTCCTCATTTTCTCCTCGTCTAGAGATGCCCACCACTCCAATTTCTTTGTTTGCTTCTTTTGCTCCACTTTAGGGCAGCCCTCCTGCGCCGTGCTTGGAGTTGCAATCCAGTCCTTCTTAGGTCTCTCTTTCTTGATCTCGCTCCCAAGCCACTCCATCACATAGTCTTTAATCCTACCGGACTCCGACCCCCCATTCACATTGTCCTGTTTCCACCACCAATCCCTCCCTGACTCGCTCTTCCTCCTTCCGATCGCTCTTCTACTGCCACTATCAACACTAACACTGTCGAAAAATCCCTCGGATATGCTAGTCTTTTTATCGAGGCCCTCAGAAGGTGAAGCCTCCACTGTCCCAGCTTCCGGCGACACTGGCCCCATTTCACCATCCAAAATCCTAACACAACGACTCTCTGGAGACTGATCCACATTTATTGCCACCTCCTCTGTCATCACACTCTCATTTTCTTCTATTATGGACCCATGATCCTCTCCATTCTCAATTCCTCCTCCTCCTCCTCCTTGCCCCTTCTCAGTTTTTTCGTCGTCTTCGATGAAGGTCTCCACAGCTCCATTCTCATCCTTACTTAAAACCTGTGCTAATCCAAAATCAGCTATCTTCGCGTCAAAGTTGGAATCCAACAAAATATTCGAAGGCTTAATATCTCCATGAACGATTGGCGGATCACATGAACTATGGAGATACTCAATGCCCTTCGCTACGGCTAATATAACACTAAACCTCTTCCTCCACAGCATCAATTCGGGACATTTACGATCTAACAAGGCATCCTGTAAGTTTCCATTTTGCATGTACTCATAAACTAGTACTAATCGTCTCCTCCTCTGATGACGAACGGAGCAATGGTGTCTGCTGTGATGGTCATCGGATGAGAAGCCGAGGATGGACACCAAATGAGAGCAGCACGTGGTGTCTATCTTCGAGGCGAGGGAGAGTTCATTGTGGAACTCTCGCTCGCCCTGGAGGGAGCCTGAAGCATCCATTAGCTTCACGGCTACCTCCTGGCCGGAGGGCAAGATTCCCTTGTAAACAGACCCAAACCCACCTTGTCCTAGGCGGTTGTGGGCCGAGAAAGAGGCAGTAGCGCGGCGAAGGACGGAATAAGAGAAGCGGTGAGGCTGCAGCGGCTTCAGATCCACAGGTGCAGTACGTTGATTTGAGAGCTTTCTGTAAATAATGGCGAAAAGAAGAAGGAACACTAGAGCTATTGCAGCTGCCAGGATGGGAGGGAGAAGGGGGGACGGGTGGCCGAGGTGAAAATGGCGGTGGGTTAGCGGTGGCGGTGGAGTGATGGAGACTGGGAAGTCCGGGAATGGTGCCTCGGGTGGCTCTAAGGGTGGCATTATTGTGAATATGAGGGGCAACCAAGTGGATGCTTTGAATACGTTAATAAGGATGCATTTTGCAGAGAGGGAGATAGAGCTGTTTCAGTTCAGCAGATGAGATGAGAAAAGGGTGGTGAGAGAGCAGTGCGTGTACTGCGTGTAAAGTGTTGTCGCTGTTAGCAGCAGTGTAAGTGCAGTGAGTTGTAGGAAGTGAAAATGCATTACTCCTATGTTGTTATCGTTTCCTTTCGTCCTTCTTCTGTTCCTAACACCTCTCCTAATCCGTTACTGAGGACTGAGGAGGAAACTCAAGTACTAGTAATAGAAGTCAAAAGGCTTTTGTCACGGGCCTGTGAACTTTTTTTTTTTCTTTTTTTTTTGGTGTGTGACTTCATATATTTCTCTCACGTGTGATGTGTGTGTTCTGTGTGAAAGACAGACGGTGAGTCATGGGTTACGACAAGAGGACTCAGGAGGGAGCGGCCTCTTGTGGGACAAGGTAATACTTTATAAACATTTGTAACCGTATATTTTATAACTACAAGCATGCCTTTGATAAAATTAAAATTTGAATTCATTAAATTATTAAGTATTAAATTTAATACATTTGAGTGCATTTCACATTCAGTGGTAAGTAAATAACTTATCACTTAATTTTGGGAGTAAGTTTTACCTAGAAAATTCAGTGCCGCTTAATTAATTCAGATGTTTAATTTTTTGTTATCCAACAGTATGAATATGTTAAGATCTGAATCCGTTAAATTTAAGTGCTGAATTGAGTTATGAAACAGGATCTAAGTAAATTATTTGTAAAACTTCGTAACAAGACGCATTACGCATGGGACTCATATGAAGTTATCAACAATGATAGAATTATTACACTCATGTTATAATAAGTACGTACAAACAATTAAGATGTAGTTACAATTTATTTAAGAAGTGTTATGAAACGACGGTCGTCACTGACAACCATCCATGTCCTGCACGTAGATATTTCACTTTTTTTTTTTTAATGAAATTTTGATTTGAGAAAATTTCTTTACATTTCGTCAGATGAATTTTTTTGTTTTTCACTTTTAAGATAATAAATTTATGTTCCTTACAAAATCACGTTAGTAAAATTTGATTCCAACTTAGTTTTCAACCCACTTTTTACCCTGAATCTATCCCGCAACCTTACATGATCCATATTTATTTTTGTTCCTAAAAAATAGAATTTAACCTGAATCATATTTATTTTTCTCTAAGAAAAAGTGAGATTTGACCGAATTTATATTCATTTTTTGTCACTGAAAAGATGAGATTTGACATTTTTATACATAAAAAAAATGACAGCACGTGGATCACGTGATAATTTCAGATAAAAAAGTGGTCGAAAACTTAGATTGATATCAAAATTTATCAACTTGAATTTGTAAATGATTTATATTTTGAAAATGAACGATGAACAAATTTATTTAACTAAACGTGGAGGATGTGTTTGAAAAATTTTCAGTTTCTAATTTTTATGGGAAATGGGGCTGATAGAGCTGTGCCGGGACCAGGCGTAGGGCAGATTTTTATTAGTTTAATCCTTAATGTGAGACAACGAATGACATAATTTATTGAATCTCAATCAGTTGACAAAATACAAAGAGAGATCAGCTGAATTAAATATAAATATATGTGCATTAAGAAGATCAAATTAAAAATTTTTTGACTTCTTTTTTCGTTCAAAGTATAGAGAAGATTTTTTGACTAGCGAACGAATATATTAATTAATGACATAATAATACTTGCGGAGTCCCCAAGTAAGTGAAGCGATGCAAGAGGAAGACTAGTGCAACTGTGCAACCAATGAATCAATGGTTTTCATTATACATTAGTGTTGCCTTTTGGTCCTTGCTTGCATGTGGATGTTGATGTGGTGGTCCTTAGCTTTTAGGCTTTTCGGTTTAGATAGATAACAAATTTAATATCTAAGAGTCTTATTATCAGCAAAAGACCAAAAAGTTAGGGAGCCGTTGCGGGCTTTGATGCTTGGGATGATCATCTTTTTGTTAATGGATGATTTATTTCTTTTGTTCACCAAACTAGAAACGGTCTTTTGTGGGCTCCCTCCATTAGGTTTAATTCAGAAGGAAGATTGTTAATGCTGGCCCAGAGAAAGAAAAATAAATTATCTCAGAAGAACACGAGAAATGATAGAGATGGAAAAATATAAAAATGGGAAAAAAAAACACTAGAAAGAGTAAGAAAAGTAAAGCGATATAATATACACAGCAATTTTTTTTTTTTTTTAATATATACACACAGTAAGTGATAGTAAGAAAATTTTTTAAAAATATCAATCTAAATAGTACATCTTTTTATAATTTTTATGAATATATTTTTCAATCCCCTCCTCATGTCATCCTCCGCTGACTGTCTGTCAGTCCGTCGGTGGTGCTGGTGAGAAAAGGTCGCCTTGTCGCTCATTAGCATGGATTGAAACAGGTGGAAGGAACTTGCACAGTTTCGCTGTCTTTGCAGGCTCCCGGTGCCCTTTACGCAATCTTCTATCTGTTCACCACACGCGCCCCTTTTTCATCTTCGACGTTGACCTCCGTCAAGATTCCCTCATTCTTCTTCCACCAATATCTTCCTCTTCTTACGTTTTAATAAATTATACAGTAGTATAAGAAGAGAAATGCTTTAAATGGTGAACCAGCACGAAGCCTTTTCCATACCACGCAAAGCCCTGATCTAGGCCTACTAAAACAAAAAAATTTGGAGGATTTGTAAAGAAGTGGAATACATTCGAGTCTCGGATCAACACAACTATTACTAATACATTACTAGTAAGATAAGATTCAGACACACACACACACACTTTTCATGAAAAGATGATTTGAATTTACTCATCGAGACAACCTAAATTACTTTTTATGCCGTCTTTCTCCAAACCAAAAGGCCAAAAAAAGGATCACGGAAAAACTTTGGATGCTGAATATAGACTTTGTTTGGCAGACAAGTTTTTTTATCAAGTTTGTCTGCTACAAGTTTTTAAAAAATTTTAGTTACAGTAATCTCAAAAAAAATTTTGAGAAAGACAAACACCCAAAACGGGGCTAAAAAAAACACATTTCAAAAATTTTTTAAAAAATTTCTATAATAAGTTACAGTAAAATTATAGACAAGCAATCAAAAAACTCACTTGTCAAACAGGACCATAATAAAACTCTTCAATTTCCGTGAACCACAAGGATCCACGGGGACTGGTGAGGCTAGTTTATGACTATTAAGACATTGATACAAAAGCTTGTGCAACAAAACCAATTTATTTCGTAGAAAATGCGGCACATTATTACTACAACTACAAGTCGACCATAACTCTGTCACAAATTACACAAATAAAGTGGCAGAGAGGTTGCACACTGTGATTACACAAATTCACAATTCGTGCTCAAGGCAACACATAACCACTACAGCTTTGGCCCAAAGCGGTTTAAGAATTTATCCAATTGATTTTCAAACAACTCCCAATATAACCAAACAAAAATATATAAGCATAAGTAATGAAAACCTAATCAACAGCCCTACCTTCTTCACAACATCTAATCAGAAAATTTATCATAAAGAGTCTCTCTATAGTGGCTTGGCACCACCATTCTCCTGAACGGAGTTTACAGGGGTGGACGAACCACTCTTCCTATGATTGCTAGACTGCCCGGTAATCGTCCTGCCCATGAATTTTCCAGCTTTGGACAGCCCACTACCTACGGCTCCAAAGCCAGTACTCACCAGGCCAACGCCAGCACCTACACCACTTCCAACTAGCCCTACTCCTGCATTTATGCCTGAACCAACTGCTGATGCTGCTCCGTCAAGAGCATCCACTGTACTCCCCAACACTCCTGATTCTTTAAGTTTCTTCCTTGCCTCTAGGATCTGCTTTTCTTCTTCAAGGGCAATCAATTGCTCTTCCTTGTTGAATTCATGATAGAATAACTGAAATTCAAACAATTTACTAGTCAACAACAGGCCTATTATCATATTAATGCCATCCCCAACATACAAAGTTGTGGAGTTACACTTTGTACAACTAACTCAGGAAGGAAGAAGGTGGAGAAGTATTGCTCGGCAGGGAGAGGAGGCCACCTGCTCATGTAAATGATGGTTTCATGGATATAAATGATTACCTGAATTGTAATTGTTCCTCTATCCTTCTTGTCTTTTATTTTGAGCATGTCATGGGATGGCAACAACCTTAATTCAAGCTCCTTTGACCTTTCAGCTTCCAACTCAATCAGACGCACTTTTGCAACACCCAACTTTTCATCTTGCCCAACATCTTTGTCAAAAACCTGTTCAAGGAATTGAAGGACACACATAGTCAAATTTTCAGCCAGATACAACCAGAGGGGGGAGAGAGAGAAAGAGAGAGACAGCGAACATGTGTTTGTGTTGCTTGGGGGATGGAGGGTGTGTGAACTGATCCAGATGTTCTTCTGAAATCTTAAAGAGCTTCAAAAAAAGTTTAACTTCTGAAATGTCAAAGGATTCTATGAATTCCAGGGCTCGCTTTACTTAACATTTACTTCACAGCTAGTTAAAACCAACAAGAAAGGAACTTTTTGTAGAAATAGAAAGAGTAGCGTATCACTCGAAATAATATAAAATCAAATAAGAAATGATTCAGACTTCAACTGCTTAACAAATAAAATAATGCAGATGGCAGGGATGATGACTTGCATAACAAACTTGTTTTTATTATCATATCTAGAATTGATTTAGGAAGCCTCATATACAGATTCAGCAATTAACAGGTCCTAACAATATGGGGTATGAGTTTAGAGATCAAAACCTCAATAATAAGGGACTGCGTCTCCTTGTCCTCAACAATCAAAGGAAATGTCTGGTTCCACTCAGGATTCAGGTTGTTATCAATGGTCTTCGTTTTAACCTTGAACAATGGACGGACATAGACAACTGTGTATGGATCTGACTTTCCAATAAACTCCTTGTTCTTCAAGTCGTTTGCCTTCACTACTGTCACTGTGAGTTTCCCTTGT